TTCTTGACACATCACTATGTACCTTGAAGGAAGAGTCTGCAGCTCTTGCCTTCCCATGTTAATTTTCCATTCTTTGGACTGTTTAAGTTAGGCTTTCATTCCTACTGTGCCCCTGAAGGTGCTTTATAAAAATCACTGGTTCTCTGGTTGCCAGATCTAGTGGCCTCTCTAGGCCTCATTTTCTGTGACCTTTCTAAGACATTTAATGCTGATCACTTCCTTCATGAAAACTTCCTTTATTTTCTGAGATGCTACTGTCCTAATTTTCCTACCTGTGGTACATTCCTTCTTATTCTCCGTTTCTGCCCCTCTTCCTCTGCCCACCTTTTCAGTGCTGATGCTCTCTGACTTTTACCTCCCTTTCAGTAGTCTCACTCATCTGCATGGTTTTCATTTTGTATACCCAGGTGATTCTGAAATCTGAATCTTCCACGCAGATCCCTGTTTTGAATCCAGATCCACATGACCTAATCCTCTTAACAGTCCTATAAAATAGTTCTGTTTTCCACATTTATAGGTGAGGATATTGAGGTGAAGGAATGTTTGGTAACCGTTTGAGGTCAAGCAGTCAGTGGAAGAGGCAGGATTTGAACTTTCTAAAGTTAAGTCTTTAACTCTGTAACATGCTGTTAATCAAACATCTCCACCTGTCTATGTATTAAATATGTCGTGCCCTATAACAAATGCCATCCCCTAACTCCATTCTCATTATTGCTCCTCTTACACCCCCCCCCCAAAAAAAACAAGAGAGAGAATTTGAAAACCTATATTCTCAATTTCAATGAATGGCATTCTTTCTTCCAGTTATCCAAGCCAGAATGTATATCGGGAATTGACATAGACTTTCCTCTGTCACTCCATCTTACAGACTGTCTGGCCCAGGGGAGCCTCAGTTCCTGGGTATTCTCCCTTTTCAACGTGACTTGTAATCATTCCCTCCTTTTCACTTCTACTGCTGTCAGAGTTGAGAACTTCATATCGACCTGGATTGCCATGATAGTGACAATCCAACCCATTGCTTCCCATATTATCTGAGCTGAAGAATTGAGGTTTTTATTTTTTTTTGAATTTTTAATCTGTTGCAGAAGTTCTGTAGCATTTAAAAATATGAATTATTGGAAAACTGAAATGAAAAACAGACATGCAAACTATAAGCTCCATTTTTTAAATGATTAAATTTGATAGACATAAAATTATTGACAAATTGCTATAAGTTTTTAAATACTAATTGTCCACATATATCCTGTCACAGACTGATAACTGTTTGTGGATTGATCCACAGACAACATTGAGGGGCACCAGTTCATGGTATCTGATGAAAAGAAATGTCTTCAGTTTTCTTAGATTATTACCACATGGGCTTATGTTATTTAAAACGGAAACATTCAGGGCGCCTGGGTGGCTCAGTTGTTTGGGCGACTGCCTTTGGCTCAGGTCATGATCCCGGAGTCCTGGGATCAAGTCCTACATCGGGCTCCCTCCTCCGTGGGAAGCCTGCTTCTCCCTCTGACCCTACCCCCTCTTGTGCTCTCTCTCTCTCTCTCAAATAAATAAATAAAATCTTAAAAAAAATAAATAAAACGGAAACATTCAGTTAGGACGTTCTTTGCTTTTAGCTTATAGATAGCATGTATATGTGGATTTAAAAGGTTTTAGAAAATTTCCTCTTTCTGTAGGATCTCTTCTTTTAATATAAATAAATCCATTAGAGCAAGGGGTAATCATGTTGCTTTACAATTTAATGCTAAGATCAAAGTGTACCGATTTAAGAGTCCAAAGAAAAATTTTCTTAAATAGGTTGGAAGTACAGTCTTCGTGGGTTACCTATAACAAGAATGATTTCCCCTGGTTTGATATATTTAATTTGATGTTGTACACATATATAAAAGTTTGCCTCTAATGTGCAATAAATTATAGATGAGTCAATGTATTCTATTTCTGAAAGATTAAAATTCTACATGGGTATTAATCTGAATGGGTGATAAATAATAAAATTACGGTATTTTTGGATTTGGCAGACATCTGACTAAACCCTTATCAAAAGATTTGAAGTAAATGAAATGCAGACAGGTGATGCTAAAATGGTCAGATGGTAGAATACCACTTGCCTTAAATAAGGCATTGCTGAGGAGTCAAAACACACAAAACCAAAGTTCTAAGGGGATATGAATTCAAGAATGGGTATGCTCTAAGTAAACTGAAATTATACCTAGAATTAGTTTAGAAATTCATTAAATAAAAAAAAAAGCATACTGTGCAGACCTCCTTGTTGTCTACATCAGGTCTCACACAGAACAAAACAACATGGGCAAATGCTAAGAGAACATAATTTTCCTATATGAGGTAGTAAAAAAGGTCAGAAAAAGCCTTTTAGATATTTTGAAAAAGTAAATTAAGCAATTAATCTTCAGCACTGTGCCAGGATTAAATACTACCACAGAAAATTTCTAACCCATTAAGAGTTCATTAAGAATTAAAAAAATTTTTTAAGTTCAGTTACAGCAATATTTGCTCTGTTAAAGAAGTAAATGGCCCCCAGACACAGTTAACCATCAAAACAAAACAACTTTGTCATGGGAAGTAGGGGCACTATTGGATGTTTAGGAGATGAAATTCCTAAAGCAGGATGTTAAATCACTCTTCTTCCATTTGTAGGTCATTCACAGGAGATGGGAAGATGGCAGCTTGCTAAACCCACACCTAGAATGTGATCAAAAGTTTTATTCAAAGAAAACTTACAAAGTAGCATGGCTTGTATGGAAGTTCAGGATAGAGAGGAGGTAGGAAAAGGTAACCTCGTTGGGGTCTCTGTGCTCCCCAAAGCAGAAGGGGGTGACATGCAGTGAAAAGAAAATTTATTTTTTAAATGTAATAATAAAAAAGAGAAACAAAAAGAAAATAACTTTTCTTAATTTACATTGTAGCAAATTAACCTGAGTTATGGAATGACAGGTGTTCATCTGGTAGCCTGGGATGGGAGGGAGAAATGCTGACATTGCAGGCAAGGGCAACAGGGAGAATAGGCATGTGGAGGATAGCTTGCAACAGCAGTGTGTCTTGTTCTCAGAAGAGTAAGTAAGCATTTTGCGGTGGCCAGAGCACACCCAGGAATGGAGTGTCTATTGCCGGTTGGGATCTGACCATAGAGAAGGCTGAGACCGAGGCTTCTCAAGCGGATGTGCACATAAGTCACCTGAGGATTTGTTAAAATTCAAATTCAGGAAAGGGACTTGAGAGTCTGCTCTTCTAAAAAGCTGCAATGTGATGTGGATGCTCTGGTCCACAGACCACACTTGGTAGCAAGACTCAATTTTGTCCTAATATTTATTGATATTTTGTTTCATGGATTATGAGTTGCCACTGTTCAGCTTTTGTTGGATCACACAAAATACATGACATTTCTGTTAAGGTAGAGATATTTAGTTATTAAATAATTTTATGTAAGTTTTATTCTGATGATGGTAAAATAATACTCTTAGCAACTTCATTGCCAAGTACAAAATAAATAATTTAGGTGTGAACTCTTACCCTTATTGAATTAGTTGAGTAGGATGATGCAGTATAATAATGGGAATAATCTAAAATTTGGAATTAGATTTTTAGACCTGGGCTTCAGTATTAGTTTTGTGTCAAAACAACTGTGACTTAATGAAGCTAAATTAACCCATTTCTCTTTTGTTTTCTCATGTCTGAAATAGTTATACTTGCCATTTTATAGAATTGTTGTGAGGGTTAGAAATGATAATGTATGGAGTACCTTGTAGAGAAAGGTTAATGGAGGTTTCAATTACCGAATTTTTGAGATCCCTTAAAAGCTAAATATCTACTATTCTTTTTTTTTTTTAAAGATTTATTTATTTATTTGAGAGAGCGAGAATGAGAGAGAGTACATGAGAGGGGGGAGGGTCAGAGGGAGAAGCAGGCTCCCCGCTGAGCAGGGAGCCCGATGCGGGGCTCGATCCCGGAACTCCAAGATCATGACCTGAGCCGAAGGCAGTCGCTCAACCAACTGAGCCACCCAGGTGCCCTAAATATCTACTATTCTTAAATGAAGAACATTGAGTGATCTTATCTTAGGAATGATTGATCTATATGTGATTTATTTACCCTTTTTACTTTTTTTTTTTCTCATTGATTTTTGGCAAGTAATGTTGTTCTTTGTAGTTTATAAAAGCTCTCACTACTACCCTAACTCAAGATCCACTTATACTCATGGTATATAATATGGTTGTTACAGAGGGGAATATGTTGTATTTCTGAATGCCCTGGAATCATGAAATAATAGGTTGGATTGTAGTTGTATCTGGTTTTTAGAGTTCTTTTGCCTTATTTTTAAATGATTTCTTGATTATGGAAATTTTCTATATAATTTGCCATTTTCAGTTTGCCATGGAATAGGAACATCCCCCTTTCGGAGCTAAAAAAATAGCCCAGCCTATTGCTTAACTATCATTCAAGCCTATAAATGGACACACCAGTTTGTGTTCCTCTGTAGGGAAAACTGGACTCAGCAAAGAGAACCACAAGTGCTTTAGAAGCAGGTTTGAGGCCTTTTAGGCAAGAATTCCAGTGGTTCTGGTGACCAGACTCCAGAAGGGGTACATAGACTGTGGGTGGGCACATCTCTGATCTGTGAGGACAGGCACAGCAGTTCTAAAGCCAGGCCCTCTACGGGTCTCTAAATCTCAAGACAAGGGCCCAGGTTGTTAGGGGGAGTGTATTAGGGAAATTAATATTTAGTCTCCACTGCCTTTTTTTCATACTAGCTCATTTATTTAGCTTTCTTGCTTCATGACTGTGGTATACTTTTATTTATGCTTGAGTTTTTAATGGATGACACAAGAAAATTATAAGCACCTTATTTAATTCAGTAGCTCTGAGATGGAAATAAGTCTTAGTGATAAAAAAAATTCTTAGATTAAATGTGGTTTTGCTAGTAGGCATTTTATTATGAAAATTTTTTTCTAACTCTGTGCCTTGTCCTTGTTTTGATTGTTTAGATCTGCTTCAGCTCCCCAGGAATATGATTGAAAACAGCATGTTTGAGGAAGAACCAGATGTGGTAGATTTAGCCAAAGAGCCCTGTTTACATCCTCTAGAGCCTGATGAGGTGGAATATGAGCCCCGGGGTTCAAGACTGCTGGTGCGGGGTCTTGGTGAGCATGAGATGGATGAGGATGAAGAGGATTATGAGTCATCTGCAAAACTGCTGGGCATGTCCTTCATGAACAGAAGCTCAGGCCTTCGGAACAGTGCAACCGGCTATAGGCCAAGCCCAGATGGGACTTGTTCTGTACCGTCTGTGAGGACCATGGCGGTCTGTGTTTTTCTTATTGTGGTTGCTGTTTCTATAATCATGGTGATTTATCTACTACCCAGATGTACCTTTACCAAAGAAGGCTGCCATAAAAAAAACCAGTCAATGGGACTAATTCAGCCACTTGCAACAAATGGAAAGTTGTTTCCGTGGGCACAAGTCAGGCTTCCCACCGCCATTATGCCACTACGCTATGAACTTAACCTACACCCAAACCTGACCTCGATGACATTCAAGGGTTCTGTGACCATTTCACTTCAGGCTCTTCAGGCCACGTGGAATATCATTCTTCACAGTACAGGCCATAATATTTCGAGAGTGACCTTCATGTCAGCAGTTTCAAGCCAAGAAAAACAAGTTGAGGTCTTGGAATACCCATTTCATGAACAAATTGCCATTGTTGCCCCTGAAACCCTTCTTGAAGGACACAATTATACCTTGAAGATAGAGTATTCGGCAAATATATCTAGTTCTTACTATGGGCTTTATGGAATCTCCTACAGAGGTGAAAGTAATGAGAAAAAGTATGTAGCCTTCCTAAATGATTCTACTTCTTTGCTCTGTGATGACTTACGTAAAATGGATTCCTTTGCCCACACGAGAGACATTAACTGGAATTTTCTTTTTTTTTAATTTAGGAGGTTATGTGCAAAATAGTAGAATGGTGACTTGGAAAGAATATACTATTTCTCTCTTATTCAAAGCCTTTAACAACTATCATGCTCATATATGTCATATATCATATGTCGTGGTGGGAGTTAGCCATGCCGATGGAAGGAAATGGATAAAGATTATATCAGTTATATTCTCTAGCACAAAATCTTAAGTTATTTTGAGCTTTTCATATCCTGGTGAATCTAGTTTTCAGTCACCTCACAAGATCTCAATGGGATGCAAAGAAAAGTATGGATTATTTTTTAAGACCTATTTTCCTAATGTGCAGAGCTTTTAGGAGGTGCTTAGTGAGATGGAGAAAGAGGGCAGGAAGAACTGTTGTATGCTTACATACATCATTTTTAGTGTCCTTAATATTTGCTGTTCATTAAAAAAGTCACTCTGTTTTGGATTTCTGATGGAATTTTTAAAAAAATCTAGGAGAGACTTAATTTGGTTTTAAAAAATGGTGATTCAAAACATAAAAGTATTCAGCTCCCTATTTAGACTATGTATTTTGCACTTTAATCTTAGTATTCATAGTATATAGTTCCAATTTCTGGAAAGATGCAGTGCACACTTCATACAGGTTATTCTTAAGTAGCAATAATGTCATTTCTCTTATGTATATGAAGTCCTTTATTAGATCTGTTTAATTTGATTGGCACATCCTGTCATATTACTTTGTAAGCCAGTTTGTGAATTACTGATGCTGGCCATTTGGCAAATGTATGTTGGTGTATTGAGAAAAATAGAAATGAATATTTTAAATCTATCTTAAAGAAATGGTTTGATCCTTCTCAAATGGAGAAAGACAAAGCAAGATCTATATACCTATTCAGATAAGTAATTTTTCTCTTTGCCTTTATCTAAAAAAAAAAAAAAAAAAAGATGGCATGCTGGCACTTGCGTGAGATCTGATATTAAAAACAAATTTATGATTGTGAGATGTGGGGGTGGGCACTGCCAGAGGTGAATGTGACTCAGGACAGGCTCACACTCATTTCCTTTGTGGGTCAATGTTTCTTTCCTTTTTACTTTCACTCTGCTCTAAAACTAGAACTTTACCTGTTCAAATGTCGCTATTAACAAGGTAAAACTGCACTGTAATACAGTAAACAGGATCCAAAAAAAAAAAAAACAAATTTATAATTATGGCAGCTCATGGCTTCTTGGCTTTATTTCCCTCTTTATAATCTTCATCATCTCTAGGAACTACAGGATATACATAAAAACAGTGCAGACAAACCTTGAAGACAAATCTGGTAGTCATCTCTTCCAATCAGATTATTGCCCTTGGAGTCCCTTGGGCCTACTACTATATAATGGAAGGAATAAATGTATGGTAGAGAAAGGTGATTTGGGGTACTTGTTGACTCTTGCCATGGGCTAGATCAAGTTGTGGAAAATACTATAAATATAGAGAAGACAATTCCTTAAAAATAAGAAATAGAATATTGTTTAAAAAGTGTTTTTAAATCTATTAAAACAAGTTAGTGTGTGAAATTCTGCTGTTAAAAAAGTATATAAATCTGTTAACCTGCCTGCTTCAGTAAAATGAATGCCCCACATGGTTGTATATCTTGATGGAAGATAAAAGTTGATAAGATTATTTATACCTTTCAAGATATCTGAAAACTGTAATTCAAAACAATTTTTTTGGTCTCTCTCCAACTTTTAATTTTGTGTAGTTCTATTAGAGAAATTTTTTGTATCTCCCCTCCGAAATGAAATAAGAATAACTATTTAAACAAGTAGATAAAATAATTAAGGGATATGTTCCTTATTGATGGGAAAATCAGAGTATATGTAAATGTCAAACATGTATTTGTGTTCAGGGAACTTTACTGATGTCATCTAAGATGTGGAGATGGTCAGTGAGCCTGGAGTTCAGTCTAGAAGGTGTTGATGATATACTTAAGGTTCTAGATAATAAACTGATACTAAAAGAACTAGTTAACAAATTTAGGATGGGGATGTGTTTTATTTCTTTGTCCTTCAGTTTTTCAGTCTCTTTATCTTGAACTCCTCAAGCGTCTTCTTAACTGGTCTGGCTCCAATCTTGCCACTGCCTTCCCCTCCTCTTGCCACCATCTTCCACACAGTTGCCAGACGCATATTTCTAGAAGTACACATCTAACCACGTTGGTCTAAGATCCTTCAGCACTTCCTCTTTTCTAACAGGATTTAGTTCAAGATTCTTCCAGATCTGGCCTTTGTTTTATCTCCTGTCCCTCACCTGCCATAATGAACTTCCTGTGCACTCTCCTGAATTCCAGTGATAATAATAACCCATATTTACTGAAAACTGAAGTGCTAGAAACTCTTCCAAGCACTTTCTGTGTTTAGTCTTTCATCCTGTCAAACCCATTAAGGGGTGGATATTAATATTTTATTCATTTTACAGGTAAGGAAGCAGGCACATAAAGCAACTCATCTAACATCTTATGGCTAGCAAGTAGCAGAGGGTGACCTCAGAGTCATTTTAACTAGAGGCTCCATTCTTAACCACTAAGATGTACTGCTTCCCTAGTTCACACCACTTTTTCATTTACCCATTTTTACTCCCAGTGGTTAGAATTCTCTTACATGACCCCAGGGTAATTCATAATTGTCTTCAGCTCTATTGGAGGTAGTGCTCAAAGTGCAGCTAGTATTTCTGAAAGCAAAGGAAGTCACTAATGAACATAACATAATAAAATTAAATTAAAAAAAAAGAAAGCAGCTTCAGGGTGTCCAGCACAAATAGGATAGATTATAAGTATCCTCAAGTAGCAACCTTCTCAAAAAGACTTTTATGTAAGATAGTTATTATTGCATCCCTTTGAACAGTAATTTAAGATTTTCTTTGTCTCAGAACATTATTATCCAATTTTTATCTAATAAAGCAGTGGTCTAAGTAGACTATATGCATATTACAGATATCATTAAACTTTATCCCCTGGTCACTTGTGGCCCTCTTCCATAATTTTCTGTTAACTAGGTAAGAATTTGAGAGTGGAGTGAAGAAATTGAGTATTAGCAACATAATATGTTTCAATTGTTTCGTGTATGTTGATAGCTATCTTTTCTGATAAGGGTCTGCCCAAACAATTATTTGGGCAGGCCCTTATCAGGACAAAAGCACAGTAATTTTAAGTGTGAATGAAGAGTTATGACTATCTAGCACTGATAATAAACATCTATGTTGGACTTTGTGGCATACAAGTAGCTTTTATTTTGAATAGCCTTATTTGATTCTAACAAAAACCCCAATTTTTTGGTAGAGGATCCTACCTCAATCCTAATTTAATGAAAGGAAAGTGAGGTGTATGTTACTGATTTGCCTGAAGTCACATGGCTGGTAAAGTGCAGGGTTTGGGTCTTCTTACTCTAAGTCCCACACTCTTTTCTGTGTATCTTTTAAAAGTGGAAACTAACCTGTAAGCAGCAAGGCCATCATGTCCAGAGGGGTGATTGTAGATGTGCCATATTGACTAGTAACTGAAATATGCACAACAGGGCCACACGTGCCCTGATTATTCTGTGGCCATGTTTGGATGATTTCCCAAATGCAGATCTGTTTTATTCCTCTGCTTTAATTGAAAATCTGATTTTCTCCTCTTTTTCTTTTTATGCTTTTCTCCCAACATTTAATTGAGGACTTTCGTATGAGTTAAAGTCTCACGTGTTGTTGCTGTGCTGTAGGAAAGGGAGGAAATTTTTTATTCATTTCTGAAGATTGTAAAGGAAACCATCATACTACAGAGCGCCTAGGGTTTTGTTTTTTGTTTTTTTTTTTTAGTCTTCATGAAAGTCTAAGTAGTAAGTTTAAGGTTTAGTGTTGTGAAGCCAGAGTCTGTGTAAATGATTAATGGCAATTAATGACCACCCTTCATACTGATCTCCATCTGAAACCTTTTTAAGACCTCAGTGGCCTGCCATAGGCTACCTTGTGGCTTCAACTCCAGCCATCTTGGACAGCCACCTCCAGTCCCTGAGTATCACATTGCTCTGTTTTTCCTTGTGCTTCTCACTCTTTCTACAGTGTACTTCCTACCCTCCTCTACCTTTTCAAATATTCCTCATTTTTTAAGACTCTCTTCAAATTTTGTCACCAGTTTCCATACAGCATCTCAACTACCACTCAGAATTTGTTTCCTGCCCTTTGTTTCCACTGCTTTATTTTCAATATTAATGACATGGTTTGCAGCCCGACAGGTTTCTGTTCATCATATAACCTATGCCTCTCCCAGTTGACTGCAGATCCTTTAATGACTGGGTTTGTACCAGGTTTCTCTTAGTATCCCTAGTACTTGGCAAGGTGCCTTCAATAGTAGGTGCTCAATAACTGTTGGATGAATTTGCGTTTGTTTTAGGTACTTTGCAGCAACTCAGTTTGAACCCCTGGCAGCAAGATCTGCTTTTCCTTGTTTTGATGAACCAGGATTTAAAGCCACATTTATCATCAGGATCATAAGGGATGAGCAATATACTGCTTTATCAAATATGCCTAAGGTACTGTTCTGTTCCTTAATGTAAAATCTTTGAGTGGATCTCTTTCTTTGTAATGAATACTTGAATTCCTCTTTGTGATACTGTTGAGAATGATTAAAATCATATACATTCTTATTCTCTCTTAAAATACTTAAATAAAAGTTAAAATATATGTTGGAATTAATTGAGAAGTCAGCCCAAGGAGCAGTTGAAGAAAGAGGAAGACCTGCTAGATGTGGAATGTGTGGGCAGGAAATGTGAAGTATGTGTTATATATTAAAGTTGTATGAGTAATAATACTATATGAACTAGTACTAAAGATCACAGTGGTATTTTCAGCGATGTGGCAAATTTGCTAAATAGTGATATAATGATAGTGTTGAATCATGATTGACCTTGGTGTTTTATTGGTTATTGAAAAATCTATATTGTAATGTGGAGGTTTAACAAGAGCATGTACCTCTTTCTTGGATGTAAATTTGGTGTGGGAGGCAGTGGGGATGAAACCAAGCAGAGGAGAGGAGCAGCCACATCTAACAGACTATGGGGTCCACCTTTGTAGGTAGGAGATGATGTGATCTATCCCTCAAGGGGACATCACTTCAGCAGCTCCACTCCTAGCCATACTCTTCATCTTCCTTTAAAAGAAGTGAGATGCCTACTTGCCTAGTCTCCCAAAACATATCTTAATTCACGGTCAGAAAATCTCGCAAGGTTGCCTGCATTCTCTCATCTTGTCTCTACTGCATACTTCTCTAGTGACTTGCCACCTTTGATTCCGCTAAGCCTTCTTAAGGTCATCTACCTGGCACTTTAAAAAGCTCTTCCAGATCTTTCAGAGGGATATCCCAACTGTAGCTCCCTCTTCTGAAATTGTAGCAGTAGAGTGGAGCACTCCTATGTCATAAGGAAGGATTTTGGTTTTGGTGGTATTTTAAAGGGGAAAAACAGAACCACTGATATTCACTATTTCTAAGTTACATTTATTTAAAATGGATCTTTTGAAACTAAAAATTCCTTAAAGATTTTCACTATACTCAGTATATTTTCATGATGAGGCACGATGGGACAGGTTGAGAGTAAGGGTCATGCTCTGTTGAGAGTAAGAGTCATGCTCTCTTGTGCTGAGAGATTAAAATATGCCAACATCTTCACTACTCGTTTCCTGTTTGAATTTTCAATTTCTTAGTTTGTTACTGTCATTTATTCCCATAGTTACCTAGTTATCTTTTCCCCTTTGCTTGTAGAATTCATCAGTCATCATGGAAGATGGACTTGTTCAGGATGAGTTTTCCGAGAGTGTGAAAATGAGCACTTACCTTGTTGCATTCATTGTTGGGGAGATGAAGAACCTGAGTCAGGATGTAAATGGAACCCTGGTATGTTATTGTAGTAATTGTCTTGAAAGCCTGTTTCCTAAGGGGTTAAGAGGAATTCTTTAATGATTTCTGATAACTGCTTTATGAAGGAAAATAAGCTTTTTAAAAAAATTTTTAATTTAAATTCAATTAATTAACATATAATGTATTATTTGTTTCAGGGTACAGGTCTGTGATTCATCAGTCTTATATATTACCCGGTGCTCATTACAACACATACCCTCCCCAGTGTCCGTCACCCAGTTACCCCATCCCTCCCCGGCCCTCCCCTCCAGCAACCCTCAGTTTGTTTCCTATGATTTAAAGTCTCTTAGGGTTTGTCTCCCTGGTTTCATCTTGTTTCATTTTTTCCTCTCTTACCCTATGGTCCTCTGCCTTGTTTCTTAAATTCCACATAGGAAAGTAAGCTTTAGATCACAATTCTGACTAGTGATTACCATATTGGATATCAATGAGATATCACCTCACAACTGTTAGAATGACTGCCATTAAAAAGGTGAGAGTTAGCAAATGCTGGCGAAGATGTGGAGAAAAGCGGAACCCTTGTGCACTGTTGGTGGAATGTAAATTGATAAAGCCACTATGGAAAGCAGTGTGGAGGTTCCTCAAAAAATTAAAAATAGAACTACCATATGATCCAGCAATCCCACTTCTGGGTATACATCCAAAGGGAATGTAATCAGGATCTCAAAGAGATATCTACACCCTGTCTATTGTAGGATTATTCACAATAGCCAAGATATGGAAACAACCAAAATGTCTGTCTGCAGATGAATGGATAAAAAAGGTGTGGTAAACGTACTATGGATTATTATTTAGCCATGAGAAAGAAGGAAATCCTTCCATTTGCAACAACATGGATGGACCTAGAGGGCATTATGTTAAATGACATAAATAACATAAGTTAAAAGACAAAGACTGTATATATTATCTCACTTATATGAGGAATCTAAGAAAGCTGAACTCTTAGAGACTAGAATGGTGGTTTCCAGGGTCTGAGTGGTGGGGGGAAATAGGAAAATGTTGGTCCAAGGGTACAAACTTCCAGTTCTAGGTTTGGGATCTAATGTACAGCATGGTGATTGTAGTTAGGAATACTGCGTTACATGCTTGAAAGCTGCTGAGAGACTAGATCTTAAAAGTTCTTATCACAAAAAAGAATTGGTAATTATGTGAGGTGATGGAGATGTCTTAACTAATACTACTGTGGTAATCATTTCACGATATAAAAGTGTATCAAAACAACACATTGCACACCTTAAACTTTCACAATGTTATATGTTAATTATATCGGTAAAGTTGTAAAAAATTAAATTAAATTTAAAATTCACTTCCTCAAGTCTCAGTAGCACATTTCTAGTGTTCTTGTGACTAGTGGTTACCATATTGGATATCGTGGATATTGAACATTCCCATCAATGCAGAAAATTTTATGAGACCACACTAAATCTTAAACATTGTGCAGACTTAAGAGATAGTGTTCAAATGTAGTTAGAAGAGACACTTCAGGTTATAAAAGTTAATTTAATCTTCCTTATTTAAAAAGCAAGTCCAGATTGAGTTTCCTTAGAATAATGAGTAAGATTGTCTTGTCTTATGTTCTATAATTTGTAAAAATTGATAATTTGTTCTAATTAGACTCCTCTGTTTTTCTTTGTCATTAGTCTCTGTAAATGGTTATTTGTTTAGATTTTATGCTTTAATTTCACAGTAGAGACCTAGTTAATATTTTCATACACTGACAATATAGGAGAAAGGGTCTTAACTAAAAATGATTATTCTTCATGATAGAAATATGATAATTTTTAATTTTTTTTTCATATTTTTGATCACCCCAGAGAATATTTTCTACCCACTGAACACATTCAGTTGGATCTGGCTTTCCTTTCTAGATTAAGAGCTTTATTTTGATCACATGATATTTAAATTTTGATAATTAAAAAGATATTCTGTTAGAAAAGCGTATGATGTCTACCGCATAACTCCTAGAGGTAAGGGCAGAGATGAGGATTATGTGACTTTTCATCAGCAGTGATACCGTATGCCATTATGCTCAACAGTAAAGGATGAGAACTATTCACGAAGTTTCAGTGTTCAAGGGTAAGTGTAGACTACGTAGTGACCAAGTGCTCAAATGATTTACAAACCTTTGGCCTGAAAGAGTTTTTGTCATGTCTAAACCAAAGAATTTTTCAGAATCCTTTGGAAAGGATATTGAGATTGGTTTAAATCTGATAAAATTCATTTAATTTTTCTTCAAGCGTCACACCACAGATTTAGCTCTTGATTCAGATGTTGCGGCCTGGACAAAATCCAAAAGGTTCAGTCAAGGAGAGTCAGGTTTGCTTCTTCAAAACCCAGCTGAATACCATCCTCTCCTTGAAGCAGTTCATTCTTTCCCCAGCTGGGATTAATCATTCCCTCTGAGATTTTTCATAGCACTTTAGTTACATCTCTGTTGTAATTATCACTCTCTTTGATATAGAACCCCCAGCACTTTTTATTGTATCCCAAAATATATGCAGTCTTGGCTTTTTCTTTCCCCTCTGTCCTCCCTCCCTTCCTCCTTCCTTCTTACTGCCTCTAGGATTACATTCAAACTCATCATTCTGATCTTCAAGGCTCTCTTATAAATCCGCCTGTATTTCTGATTGCTCCAGTATGGTTCTTCAATCTAGCCAAGCTGAACTATTCACTGCTCAGATATATACCTTATTCTCATATACAGAGAGATGGGCAGGGGAAATGGAGAGAAAGGGAAAGGGATTGATTGAGACTGAGATTGAGAGAGGGGAATTTGGGGCGGTTTTTTTTTTCCTTTAATTTATGTGTATTATGAAGCAACATGGTTAAACATGGACTCTGGAGTCCCTCCTCTACAGCTTACTAGAATGTGCTCTTGGGCAGATTCCTCTGTAATCCTGTCTAAACCTCACCTTCTACAAATCTAGTACTGTATTGCCTATAATAGCCTGACCTCCCAAGGATTAAATGGTAAAAATACTTTGTAAAATATTTAGTGCCTAGGGCGCCTGGGTGGCTCAGATGGTTAAGCGTCTGCCTTCGGCTCAGGTCATGATCTCAGGGTCCTGGGATCGAGTCCCGCATCGGGTTCCCTGCTCAGTGCAGAGCCTGCTTCTCCCTCCCTCTGCCACTCCCTCTGCTTGTGCTCTTCTGTCTATCTCTCTGTCAAATAAATAAAATATAAAAAAAAAATATTTAGTGCCTAGGAGATAGTAGTATACACACACACATATACAAAGTGCACTTTTTTTATCCATATGCAAACATATTGTGAACTTCCTTGTATGTCTGTAAAGTCATAACTTTTAATGCCACCCAGCATATATTTCAAAATGTGTTTTGGAAAAAAATTGTTATACAAATAAACAATTGTTTCATTAATTTTCTCTCTTTTTATTAGGTTGAGGGAAGACTCTAACATGCATGGAGCTATACTCTGTGCTGGCTCCTGCCTTAGGCACTCATTTATAAATATCTTTTCATTTTGTAAACCACATGGGAGGGAAGCATGAATCCCATATTGCTGATGAAGAAACTATCTCAGGGGCGTTACATAATTACCCAAGATTACATAGTAAGTGACAGTCAGGATTGTACTGTCCCCCACAATATGCTGCTGCTTCCACCCAGTAACAGAAATAACTTCTGTATGTATGCTGACCAGAAATTTAGAGTTGAAGTCTAACAAAGGATTTTTTTTACACTAAAATGTTGTAATCTATAGGATGGATTCTATTTTGTGGTATTTGACATTAGGCCTATTTCACAAGATTCAGGAATAAGGCAGTAGGGCTTTACTTACTAATGTCAGTCTTACCAAACAACCAGAAATGTCAGTAATTAAACATGCTCTCTTTAGTGATAAAGATTACGACATTGTCAAAGTTTTAAAGAAAGAAGAACATTTGTTTTTTATCATTTTTCTCTGTTCCTCAGTGTTCGTTATACCTCTTTTTGTGTTCAGGAATGCCAGAATTACCTAGAACATTCCAGGCCAGTTTTGAAATACACTGCTTTGTCTTGAGGTTTTTGTTTTGTTTTTGCCATTGCCTGATTTTGTTTTTACCACAGACAGGTCTAACTTATAGAATCAGAATGCAGATGTGGACACCATGTTTTAAGTTGTAAGTCTTAAGGTCTGAGTGCTAGTTGACTTCCATTTGACAGTGTTCAGAGTGCTCTTATCAAGCCCAGAACACTGGTCAAGACTTTTTGTTGTTGTTGAATTAGTTTGTTCTGTTTCTTACTGCTTCTGTTGCTCTTAAAACGAGCTTGATAATAATTATAATGACCAGATGATTTATCTCTAGTGAAAACTCATAACACATCTTCTTTTAAGGAAAAAAAAAAAAGTAGAAGGGAAGAGAAAATACCTAACTACCTTTTTTCCTAATCATTGTATTTCAGAAATGGAACTAAGTGGATCCATTGGTCAGATTTTAGTTTCATGTGTACTTCTTTTCCCTCCTTTACTTTTCCTCCAAGGAAAGGTGCTTTCAAACCTAGAGAGAGGAGTGGCCAAATGGTATGTGTGGCAGAAGGATGTTGGAGGAGGAATCTGGGTGATTATGGGTGGTATTTCCATTGGGATAACATCTTCGAGGTTAATGTGTTGATTATAATATAAAATGTGTGTTTCTGGAAAGAATAGGCAGAGATAATGAAGATTTGTCTCAAAATTCCTAGTGATCTTGGTATAGTCATTTACAGTGGAAGTTAGAGACTGTAAAAGAATATGTCAGGCTTTCCCCACTGCCCAATAACATTGACGTCAGAGCGGAAAGATGCAGGAAGTATACACGTCAGTGGAATGAGCTTATAGTTCCTTTGGCAGGTAGTTACTGCATTCAGTAAACTTTACCAAGGGCTGCAGATGGTAGAGTGCTGGGCTGGTGAAGTACTCTTGGCCACATGAGGCAGGAGATTAAATTTCTTTCATAGTTCCCTTAGAAAGCCAACAGAGTTTTAACTGATTAACTCCAGTCCTAGATAGGTTATTTTTCCAGTAACTGTTGGCACAAATGCTCTACTCACACATATTTTGCCCCATTTCTGTTGGGACTGTATTTTTAATAATGATAATAATTACCATTTATTGAACACTTACATCATGTCATGCACTAGTCTAAGTTCTATATATGTATTAGCCCATTTAATTTTCCCAGCAACCCAGTGAGGGTAGGAGTAACTTTTATCACCTTTTTGCCTATAAGGAGACTGAGGTTAACCAACCTGCTCAAGGTCACACAACTAGCAGAAATTTGTTTTTTGTTTACTTAAAATTTTTTTAACTTTAATTTTTATGCCATGTTACCTCCATGTTTTTTGTGATTAACTCTAGACTAAAGCCCCACATAAGGACAACTATGACTGAAATCTGTTTGACCTTTTAGAAATTGTCGAGAGTTTTTTAGTCCTTTAATGAGAGAATTAAATTAGAGTTGGAGCTCACCAGTGCATTTTGTCCAAGTGATGTAAGTCTCTATTTCCCACCAGTTGAGATTTTTTTTTTTTAAGTTTTTATTTTCTGCTATGTCTTGGCCATATCTCACGTTCCCAGGTGAGTATAGAGGGCTTTTTTTTTTTTTTAGTCAACTGAAAAACAATAAATAATGCTTTTTAAAACCCATTGTTTTTAACATAATTGCTTAAAATTTGCCTTTTAATACTTATTGAATAAGATGTTTATAGTTAGTCACAGCTTACGTGTTTAACTTATGTACTTAGTCAGAAAAAGAGAGAAAGAATAGCAATTTAAATGGCGTGGGTGATTGGGTCTGCCTCCCCTCTTTGTGAGCATATGTCCTGAAGGGAATGGGCAATGGGAATATGAATTTACATCTCCTTAGTTGGTTTAGTTACTGTGTGCCACTCATTGAGCATTGGATTCCGTTTGGTATGATTATTTCTTCTACAACATGATCCATGAAGACAAGCCAACAACTGGAAAAAAGTCAGCTATCCCGAGGCTGGAAGAAAAACAATCTGTGCCATACTTACTGACAGAGCATGCACTGGTCTGCAATAGGTTTTTCCAGGGTAATTTCAACAAATGTGCAATTTCTGCCTTGTATGTTTGCTTTAGAACAACTCCCTTATGTGACTCCTCGGTATCGGGTGCCTGTTTGATGCCAGGTACCGTAATAGGTGCTAAAAAGATGAAAATTTGTTTTGTCCTTCAAATATTTCAGTCTTGATAGCTCATAGGTAAGGAAAGGCAACTTTAGGTAATGGAAAAGACAAGTATCATAAAATTGATAGGCAAATGCTTATGTGTTGCTGTAATATGACCCAAAATAGTTTATTTGGGATGTTCTGTTAACTTAAATCAGTAAGTTTTTAAACATTGTGGTATGTGTGGAAGTGACTTGCTAAATTCTCCAGGGACTAAAAGAATTGGAAGCAAGAGTTTCTGTCCTGTAAAATCTCATAAAACTCTTCTCCGTTCTCACATATGCTTCACAGTATTCACCTGAATATCATGCCATTTTGGTTTTTCCTGTCTTTATATATGTATATATGTTTTCTTTTAGGTATCTATATATGCTGTACCAGAAAAGATTGGTCAAGTTCACCATGCCTTGGAAACAACTGTGAAGCTTCTTGAATTCTATCAAAATTACTTTGAAATTCAATACCCACTTAAGAAATTGGGTAAGAATCAAACAGTGCCTCTGATTTTCATTACCATTATAACCTAGATTCATTTTACAAATGTTTTGTAGAAAACTTCTGCCAACGTTATTTTAAAAGAAAACTAAGAAACACTTAAATCTTTAAAAATTGTCTATATTTGTTAAGATTATTCAGATTCCATAAAAGCATCTGAATGTGGAGCTTAAAACATTTAGAAGTTTATGGGGCTATAACAAGGGCTTATACAGGTGCTGTGTAAGTGGGAATTTGCTTGGGGCTTAGTCTGGAGTTTGACTAATTCTAACCTCCTAAGAAATTCCTGATTCAAATAACAAAAACTGAGTATTGGGAGCTCAGAAAAGCAAGAGCACGTCAGAGCTGTTTAACCTGGAGCTAGATAGAGGAATGTTGGATCTGCACTTTATCCTCCTTGCTCTAGAAAGTTGATTCATTGTAAAGGAATTAGATTTGTCTTCCTTTGCTAAGGGACAGAGGAACAGTGAATCTATAGGGATGGTTCAGGTCTTTCTCAACTGACTGACAAGTGGGGAGCATATAAGACAAGAGTAGGGTTCCATTTGCTGAGTATAAAAGGACCTCACCGCCTCTTGATACACAGTGATAAACCAATGGGTAAAATATTTTTATTTAGGGTGCCTGGGTGGTTCAGTTGGTTGGGTGACTGCCCACAGCTCAGGTCATGATCCTGGAGTTCCGGGATCGAGTTCCGCGTCGGGCTCCCTGCTCGGCGGGGAGTCTGCTTCTCCCTCTGACCCTCCTCCCTCTCATGCTCTCTGTCTCTCATTCTCTCTCTCGCAAATA